CGTTTCTCAAGCCTTGTTTCCTGGGGAAAGGCCTTCTGGATGTCGCCATGGAGACCTGGGGGATGCCACCTTGGGGGAGGCAGGTTCACGTAGGTTTAAGTCTGACCTCTGGTGTGCAAGGGTTGGTGGGAAGGGATGGCTTGGGCTCTTTTTAGGGTTTTGCAGTTTCTGGTTGGGGCGCGAGGGTGGTCTCAAGAAGAAAGCGGGGACCTTGGCTTCCTAGTGGCTCTCTCTGGCGATGGACCCTGCCCGGGACGAGGGGCTGGGAGGGAGGGAGGCTCATGTGTGGGAGCAGGTTGGCAAGTGGGGCTCCAGTGGTGTGACGGGGGCTGTGGCCACCTGAGGGGCCGCTCACAGGTTGTCGGGAGGGGAGGGTCTGACGTTGGTGAGACAGGGAAGGCCACTGGGCACTGCCTGCCCTTCACTTCTCCACGGCGCTCAGCACACATCTGAGAGGATGCACTCGCTTACGTTGACCCCGTTCTCGTCTTCCCTGCAGCTGGGAGCCATGGCCAAGATGGAGGTGAAGACGTCCCTGCTGGACAACATGATCGGCGTTGGCGACATGGTGCTCTTGGAGCCTCTCACCGAGGAGACCTTCATCAACAACCTCAAGAAGCGCTTTGACCACAACGAAATCTATGTGAGTCGGCCCGCCCAGCCCCGTGTGCGGTTTCGACTTGGTGTTTTGTGGCAGAGAGCTGGCTCTTCTTCCTCAAACTCTTCTCTCTCTTTCTCTCTGTTTTCTGTTTGTCAGAGTCCAGAGGTATTTGTTTATACCCTCGGCCAGAGTTCTGTGTTTGCTCCATTGGCACACAAGTAACACTGATTAGAGTCTGTTTACACGGGGTGGCTGCAGGGTGCCGACGGGGTGCTGGTGTTGTGCTAGACGTTGGGGGCATCTACAGCAAGCGGAGAATACCGAACTTCTGCCTCCTGAGGAATGGATGCAGGAGGAGTTGGGAAATCCATAGGCATCTTCTTGGATGCCTTTATAGGACTAGCAGTCTATCCTTTGAGAAGCTACTCATTAGAATGCAGGGAGTGAACTGTCAAAAAAGATAGGAATCTTGTGGCCTGGCTGGTGTGGCTCAGTGGTTGATCATCGACCTATGAACCAGGAGGTCACGGTTCGATTCCCGGTCAGGGCACATGCCCGGGTCTTGGGCTCGGTCTCCAGTGCGGGGCATGCAGGAGGCAGCTGATCAGTGTTTTCTGTCATCAATGTTTCTATCTCCCTCTCCCTTTCTCTCTCTCTAAAATTAATAAAAAAAAATACATATTTTTAAAGGATATGAATCGTCTTGACATTTGTAGTTAGTAGAGGCAGGAGCAAATGACCAGATTGAAATATGTGTTTGGTTCTTAGAGGTTTGGGCATAGTCTTGTCCTGCTATCCAAAATTATAGTGTTCCTCGACAAAAGTGAAAGCATCTAAATATATACACTAGGAGGAGAAAATTTTTAAAAATATATATTTTATTGATTTTTTTTCAGAGAGGAAGGGAGAGGGATAGAGAGTTAGAAACATCAGTGAGAGAGAAACATTGATCAGCTGCCTCCTGCACACCCCAAACTGGGGATGTGCCCGCAACCAAGGTACATGCCCTTGACCGGAATTGATCCTGGGACCTTTCAGTCCCGCAGGCGATGCTCTATCCCAGTGATGGCGAACCTATGACACAACTCATTTTTTTTTGGTTGATTTTTTTCTTTGTTAAATGGCATTTAAATATATAAAATGAATATCAGAAATATAAGTCTTTGTTTTACCATGGTTGCAAATATCAAAAAATTTCTATATGTGACAGGGCACC